TTAGGGAATATCTTTTTCCTTTACCTCATGTGCAGCAGTGGTAAAAATATGAATAATGGTTTGTACCCTCATAATACCCTGAAACAAAAAAAAAAAACATATGAATAATGTTAAATCACTGAGTATGAGAACCTTTCATGAATTTCATATGGTCTTTGTAAGAGTCAGATAAAGAGTTTTCCTAAATAAAATAAGCAGTATTTAATTTCAGAAACTGTATTTTACTTCATGAAAATTTTTTTTTGCAAAAAGACCCTACTTTATTAACTCAGCAAGAAAGGTTAATACACACATTTCACATCTAACATCAAAACCCACAGAAACTGCACTACCCTCATTATTTACAAATCAGGCTACAAGGAAATAATTATTTTTATCAAAGCTGTAACAATTACTAATTTTCCTAAAAGCCAATATCCACATGTACGCCTAAATTTGGAACGGGCAATGGACTAGTCCTAGAGACCTATAAATGAGAAAACCGCAAGATGAGGATGCTATTACAAAGTCGTCTTTCTCTTTCTTCCCCTAGATCTGAGACTTCCAGTCACTCTCCCTGCCCCTGTATCTGTTAATCTTTTGCATCATTCATTCTCCATATCCCCACGGTTCATCCATCCTTCCCATCTCTTTTTAAACTATAAAACAGAGTGTGTGATTCAAAATATTTGTAGTTTTTTTTTTTACTTAAAGTGAAAAAGGTTTATTTCTTAAAACAAAAAACCAAAACCCCACCAAACAAACACACGAAAATTAAGTCGTTTTTTATGATACTTACGTGAGCTCGGATTTGATTTTATGTTGTGGTTCTTTGAGAAAAAGTCTTCCCAAACTTGATTTACACACTTGTGTAAGAAAGGGTAAGAAACTGGAGAAAATATGAGAATAGTTTATAGTAATCCACACCCACTACCAGGCCCGCACGGAATTTCCCAGGGCCTGGGCAACAAATGAGTTTGTCCCTAACCCAGCCACCTAGGAACGTGGGGCCTGGCAGTGCAGAGGCGGGCGGGGACCTGGCCTCGCCAGGCACCGCGAAGCCCCCGCCTCCCGCAAGTCCTGGAGGCCGCGGCGTCGCGGGGAGCTAGGCTCGGGCGGGCGGCGGTTGCACTGAGAGAGCCCGGCAAAGAGCATCATGAGGACCGACTCGGGGCTTCGGCTGGAGGAGGGACCCTCGGTGAGCAGTGAGGGGCGCGTTGGCCACAGGAGGTGGCGAGACAGAGGGTGCCCTAAAGAAGCTACCCTCGGGGCGGGGCCGACGCCAACGAGCTGGGGCTCACTAGGCGAGAACCCTGATCGTTGGGTGAGCGCATCCACCCCTTTAGCGTTCACGGGGTTGGACAGGAGCCGGGCGAGGTCGGGACCCGAACTCTCGGAGGAGAGGAGCCGAAAGTTTCCGGGGACCTGAGTCCACGTTGCCACAACGCCGTAGTTCTCCGCCCCAGGCCCGGAGGGTTCCGATGCTGCCAGCAAGGCCTCTCCTACAGACTCCTACCCGAGGAGAGGGTTTTTAGCTACCCAGAAAAGAGGTCACTGTTTGCCTGCGGAGACTTTTAATCAAGACCTTCCCTCACGTCCTCCCTCCCCCCAAACAAATCACTGCAACCACTTAGAAAAGCATGGGAAAGCAGGAATAGCAGCCCTGCGCGCGCTGGACCTCTGGTCCTGGCCACGTCAGCCCCGACTCCGAGGCGCCTTTGTTCTGTAGGGCTACTGTCGCGAGGTCAAGCCAGGCCCTCGCGCGCTCCTCGCCCCAAAGTCCGCGGGGGCTGCGGCCCGGAGCGGCTTGGGCGGCGCAGCCCGATGACGCGTTGCGCTTGCGCGCCCGGCCGGGCGGGGCGGGACGGGCTGTGGCGCCCTGCGCCTGGGGCCGGCGAAAGAGAGAATGGGGAAGAAGCAGGTGGTAAGCGAGTCTTAATAACTTTTGAGATGTTAGGATTTTTGTCTTCAGTTGAGCTGTCCTACTTTCGAGCGACTTAGAGATTGGGACTCTGGATGGGTGAAACGTCATTTTTGCGGGACTTTTGAAATGAGGAGTTATGTGAACTGGGTCCTATGGTAGAACGCGCTTCATAGCATCTTTAGAACAATAGTGCTTTCATGTGATTGTTTTTCTTTTCCAGTTGTAATTTTGACTACCGAATGGTATTTAGATAGTGTGCCTTGTCCTAATCTTGTAGCATTTGTATTAATCTAGTGTTTTAACTAAACGGAACAAACTACAAGAATGTCTAAAATTTCGCCCTTTTGAATCAATGTCTTCTGCAAGCAACATGAGATACTTGGAACATTAAATTGACTTGTAGACATTTCTGTTAGTATTTTATTTTTAAAGATTCCACAATGCTTCTTAACTGTAATGCTCTCTGAACTACAAATACGACTTTTCTTATTCATATAAAACAGCATTTATAAAGGCTTTCCCGTCTATTCTTTCTGCCCTAAAATCCATTCTTCACGCTGTATTCAAGTAATCCTTTAAAAAAGTATTTTACTTTGTGGCTTGAAACCTCCATTGCTTTCCCACTGAATTAAAACAAAATCCAGACTCCTCTTAGTCTACAAGGCCCCAGTTAATCTGGCTTTTGCCTGCCTTTCCTTGGTAACTGTGCTGCAGCATTGCTGTCCTTTAACCTGGAACATTCCAAGCCCAATCTCCTCTAAAGGCCTCTAAAGGCCTTTGTATTTGCCTTAAATGTTGCCTCCTACTTTCCTTAACTAAAGTAGATGCCTCATTCTCCCTCATTCATTATCATATATTTGAGAAACATATAAATATACATTTTATCATATATAATACATATAATTGTACATATTATCTCATATATTTTTAACATTGTCTTCTAATACTTAACCATTAGAATGTAAGTTCCATGTTGCTTTAATCTCTCTGTTTTGTTCATTAGTGTATCCCTTATGCTTAGTACAAGGTCTGGCCTATAGCTAGAAAGAAACGTAGGAAGGAAGGAATTTTATATGAAATTTAGAAATGGTAGAACAAATTTAAAATTGCCCACCTGTTTCTCATCAGTACCTCTGAGGTTTCACTGATGAACAGGGTTATCAAAAGATTTGAAGATCCCAGTCTCTTCCATTGTATTTTTCTGTCACGTCTGAACAACAGGTTTTTAAAGAATGCTTTTCTGATATTTGAGACACATGAAATAAAGATGCCGTAGGCTTTCACTTACAAGCAATTTTATTCTTTTTTCTCTCACAGCGTCCTCCACGAACCCTTCCACCTGTACCAAGGTAAAAATTATAGTAATTTCATTATTGAGCTTTAAAAATGTAAAATGAATAAAGTAGAAAAATTGACTAGTACCATTGCAAAATTATAATGATTCAGAAAAAACTTCCTGAAAATCTTAGGAAAAGACTTCCTAAAATTTTAAAGATGAAAAACCTATAGATATAAGGATAACAGTTATAATTAAATAATTATTAATTATAGTTATTTATGTTTTTTATTTAAAATTCTATTTAAAAGCCTGAATGTCAACCTAGTAGGATAATAAATCCATTCTGAATGGTTTAGTGTCTTGTTTATCAGAATTCTGATCCTCTTTTGTTTGCTAGA